GCTTTGCTAGAGAGAAACTGATTGAAGGGGGAAGGGACCCAAAGCTGACTGACCTAATTGCTGTGTGGATTGAGAAGCTGGCAAAATCATTAGTTTCTTTTATGTTTTCTTTCTATCCTATAATAAAGATAAATATTGATTGCTAGAAGAATATTGATTGTAGGGGTCGTTGCTGATGGCAGCTGCATGATTTGCACAAATATCTCCCACGTACAGTGCCACTTATTTGCATGAGAATGCAGTTTCACCAGCCTCGCGTTGCAGACCATTCACTTGCCTTACAGGAGCATTTACCCAAACTGTATATATCAGTGACTAGCAGTAAAATATGAAACGAAGGCCTGAAATGGTTCATCTTCTTAATATGCTTCTTGTGTGTGACTGTCTGCTGAGGGTAAGTGAAGTCTGTTGTCCCTGTCATGTGGAAAGAAGCACAGGACACAAGGAACCTGCTATAATTATGCTGAAACATCACCACCTTGCTTGGGAACAGCACCCTCAGACCCATGCTCCTTCCCTCCTCACTGACCTAGACAATGAACACACAGAGTGCCTCCATTCAGGTCTGGATGCTCTTCTCCAAGCTCCCAGCTTTGGGACATCAGGGACACAGTGTCCTCCCAGCATGGCTTCAGCACCTTCTCTCTCCTGAGATGAACTTGCCTGATGGGATCCTTGTCCACTTGTGAGAAACGGAAAAGGCCCCTCCAGAGCTTGGGAGAGAGGAAAGTTGCCTGCCACAGCATGGTGCCTATGGCAGAGCATAAAACCCTACACTCAGCCAAGGAAGAGTTCTTGGGGTGTGTGGGACCAAGTTGTGGGAAGCAGCAGGAGTATTTTCACCCCTTTTTATCACTGGTGCAAACCCGAGTGACCCATTCAAGGTCAGGTACCTCCTGCCAGTGATACTGCTGTCTCTCTCCTCCACCTGCAACCTCCAGAAGGAGGAAGGGCAAGGCAGAGGAGCAATCTGCAGAAATGGCCTCCTCACCTCCTTGGACACTGCCAGGCTGCAGGGAAATCACTCTCTCCCCAGCATATTATACATCTCCGTGTCTGTCTTTTAGCTGGCAAACTATCCTATTCTGGGAAATCCTGCACTTCGTTATTGCTGCTGGCTGACCCACTGATATTGAAATTTAAAGGAATAGCATGCATATTTAACCCCAATTCATCATTTTGATTTTGATTAACTCTACAAGTCAGAGGTTTGCAGGCTTTAATCTTGTTTTAAGAAAATACTCCTGTTTGTTCTTCTTTGCATTTAACAGGAAATTCAACAGAAGGGTTTTATTATCATTATTATTTATCTCCTTCCACTTACTTGGACACATTGTGGACCTCTGAAATAGCTGCCCAATATCTATCCAAACTATGGCTTGTCCAGTGTAGAGAGTGCTCTGATTTCCTAAGTGGCTCATAAGAAGGAGATTAATACTGGAATCCAGGTTTCTGACATGGTTATGCACTGACACTAAGCCACTTCAGCAGATGAGCAGGCACTCCATTTGGTGAGTACTATTTATGTACAGTGAGTAGGTATTTCATAGATGCTTTTTGGAAGATCTTAGAAATACACCACAGTTCATAATGTTACGCTTCATTTTTCATTTCCTTTTAAGTATATCTCTTGGGGTGTTATGTTGAGTAGCCTTGTCTTACAAAATCAATTATTCCCTAGCCAGCCCAGGAATAAAACCCAAAGTAAGCAACACCAAATGTCTGATTTACCAATAGATTGCAATCCAGTGCTAAAGAGCACTGCCCTGCTTTAAATATTTATGAAGCCCACGAGTGCAAAATGCATTAAAGGTGGGAATAATGCCAGTAATACACGATCCTCTTAGTGACAAGAGGCTTTCACATATTAAAGTAGCAAGATGTTAAAGACTTTCAACTGAACAGTCTTTGTCTTTAACCTAGAGAAAGAGATTCACTAATGGAATGCCAAATTGCTTTCACTCTTGTGATACTAGACTGCAGAATAGGGTAATAATACATGTGTGCTTTACCATGCTGTGGAAAACCTGTTATTACAGTGGGTTATCTTCTGCCTTTTCTTTTTACTTTCCAGAAAATGTTCACATGCATATCTTAACCCTTTGAGCAGTCTTCTGTGTGCCAGTCTCCCTAACAGAATCCCAAAAGTCTAGCCATTAACAGGTTGGTTTTATGCAAATACGAAGATTTAAAAATAATGGTGACATAGTACAACAGTACAGTTTAGCTGAGTGACAACTGATAATGAATAGCTAAAAAAAAAGGGGAAAAAAATGAGTTAAACCAGAGACAAGAGACTGCAGAATAACAGACTGTGGCAATGCAGAATAATGTTAATTATCACTTTAAATCATCAGTAGCCCAATCACATCTGCTATCACACCTGTGCTCTCTTCTCTGATCTACTCTGGCACCCTAGAAATATTAGGTGTACAGCCAGTCTCATATCTCCAGTTCTCTGTAATCTGGCTCTGCTACCAGATTGCATCCCTCTGACCTGGACTGGATCAGGCACTGACCCTGCACCCTCTAACTGGTTCTGATGGATAGGGGACACTGCTGGTGCTGGGCTCGTCACTGTAACAACAGGTCTTGGGGCTGCTGGGACATGCTGACTCCATCTGGATTTTACAAACCTCATCAGTCAGGTGAGATAGCTAAAGGAGCCCTGCTTACATCTGAAATTTGATCTGCATAAAATAGTGATCAAATAATAAACTGAAGTCTTTTCCCATTTAATCTAAGGACAATTTTTGCACACCAAATCTTGGTAGAGGAGGTGGGGGACTACGTCCATCTGGTGCCAAACATGGAAATTCAATTAACGTACACTGGAAAGAGGGATCTAGGTACTCCCATACATAGTCTGCTTCTCTTCTAATAATAAGAATAACAAAGAACTAACACAAAGAGGGTTCATTTTTCACAAACACGTTCATCTGAGACCAATCAGGGGGCAAGGACAGGAAAACAGGGCTCTGTTATGGCATACAAAGTTGTTTACTTCAAAGCAGACCTTTAACAGAGGTCTTTGTACTTCTGGTTGGAAATCTGCTTTCCTGCCTTTTAACACTGTCTGGCAGCATCTTCCTAGTAAATGCCCATTCCTG